TTTTCAAAACCACTTGTATTTCTCAGGGAATCAGTGATACGGGTAACTACCAGCTTTTGGGAGAAGGAACACAAAGGATGTTTTTATTATTGAACATTTATCATCATATTGTAATATTCTTTTGATAACATGTATAACACAACAATATACGTTTTCATTTTATATATATGATGGTTGTGTTACTTTCTTTACAATATTCAATTGTTGTGATACTACGTGAAGTCATCCACCCCCGAATGTTTCCGCCATTCTGGTTTGGGGGTGTGACACTTTGTAATTCAAGCATGTCTTTGTGTTATGTGTTTCGGATTTCGGTCTGATGCAGTATGTAGTATATGTGTTTATGCTAGTAGTTATGATTATGATATGCTATGTTCAGTCAGTTTCCGTACTTCGGTCCAATGCAGTATGTCGTATGTATTTATGCTATTAGTTATGATTATGCTATGCTATGTTCAGTCAGTTTCCGGACTTCGGTCCGATGCAGAGGGCAATGCCCTGGTTAGTCCGGACTTCGGTCCGATGCAGTTTCCAGACTATGGTCCGATGCAGAGGGCAAGGCCCTGGTTAGTTTCGGACGTCGGTCCGATGCAGAGGGCAAGGCCCTGGTTAGTTCCGGATTTCGGTTTGATGCAGTTTTCGAACTTCGGTCCGATGCAGTGGGCAAGGCCCAATATGTGTTTATATGTTATTGTATGGTATGTGGTAGTTTGGGGGAGCTCACTAAGCTTCGTGCTTACAATTTCAATTTTGGTTTCAGGTACTCAGTTTCAAAATAAGAGCTCGGGAAAATTGCAGTGCACACACCATTTGTTCAGCCTGGGATGTTTATACTATGATATTTTGACAATTGTTACAATATTTTGAGATACAATGTATATGATTTTTATACGATGTTCGATTGCTATGGTTTTATTATTAAATTAAAACGAAATTTTTAGACTGTATTTTTGGGATGTTACAAATTACCTCTTATTAGTATGCATATCCTTATTCCACGCAACTAATGAAAAGTCAGCCCACAAAATCAGAACAACAATTGGATTCTTCAACTCCTCTTTTCGAACTCTTTAAATTGGGATAAGTAATCAGAAAACCAAATGGGAATAGACAAAGGGCATCAAAATCAAATAATTAAAAGGAATCAAAAGCAAAGACTACAATTGATGTATTGGAATTTCAGAATTCGACTGTTCCAATTTATACAGAATAAAAAGGAATCATAATCAAAATACACAACCAAAATAGGAATCAAAGCATAATTTTAGGATTTTTTTACCATTACAATAGATTTGCAATATGGGGTGAATCGTGATAACTAGAGCACACGGTGGTGCCGACTTTACCAAATTCTTGAAAATTTTAAGTAAATATGGCGAATGCAAGACTGTAAAACTCCATTCGATTAAAGATTCCTCCGGTAGACCGTAGATGTTGTGGTGCGAAATCACCAGAAAACACACGGTAACACCAAATATTATGATTTGAAGAAATTAAAGGTGGAGAAGGAAATGTTAGGTGAATCGATTTCTAGAGAGCAACATAAAGATAAAATAAGCTCGCAATGGATTTTGAGTGGTGGTTTGCTGGAAATCGAAGCCCTAATCGAATAGACAAAGGTCATAGCAAAATCAAGGCGGTGGAAAAAACAATGAAACAACACGTGTTGGTGCATGTGGCAGGAAACGGCGAAAGGAAGTGATGATGATGCGAATCTTTCTGGTCAACAGTAAATAGTAGGGAAAAAGAAATCGGGAATAAGACCAAAAAAAGGACCACATGGGGTAAAAAAATGATGTTGGTTCAATCAGGAAAAGTTACGGTTTGTAAGGTAACAATCTTTTTATCTTGCTATATAATTCTTTTAATAGTCTCTTTCGTCCCATATATACACCATTCATGAGTATCTCTCCACGATATAAGAATTTATATTGAGTTCTTTTCATAATTGTTTTTCTTAATTGTAAATTTCCACTTTACGTCGTTGTTTTACTATTTTTCTTGTTATTTTGTTATGTTCTAACATCATTATATTTAGGTGTACCGGAGTTTCTGTAAAAAAAGAGGTACTCATGAACTTTCTGACTGACCCTTTAGAAAGAAGATCAACACTTAGATAATGTTTTAGTTTTTGGATGGGCTCGAGGGAAGCATGCATGTGTAGATCTAACAGGGGTTTCCCTTCTTGTGGGCTTGGAAATTGAGTTTTCACTATGGGGGCAAAGTACTTTAAAAGTTGCATTATACAGAATGACAAAACATGAGAAAGCGTGCATGGAAAATCACACACATTTATACTTTTTGCATTTGATACTTTCGGTTTCCTTACGCTAGATTTTCTAGAGCTCCTCAATAGAGTCCAACAAATCATACATAATAATGTTATGACCGTTATGGATGTTGCTTTTAAAAAAATTAGTTTTGACATACAAAAAAAAGTTGCGGTACAACTTGTTGCTTGTTTACCTCTTAAAACTTTGCTTTAATATCTATAATTGAAAAGCTTTTTAGTTTTTTCTTATGATGCATCATTTGTTTTATTTATTTTTATTATAATACTCCGTTTTTTAATGTAGAAATTGATTTTTTCAAAAACTAACTTTTTTCTTTAGACATTCAAATTTCAACATGACATTAAAAAAAAAATCATGTCACAAGTTTATCAATATAGCCTATAAGTGAATCTATACCATCCATTGAAACTTTTTCCATTATAAGACAACATATGAATGTGACACAATTACTAAACTTTGAGTGATCCTTAATCAAAATATATATTTTGTCTCCTAACAACTATTTCTTCTACCAGCAAAATCCACTATCTATAATGTATCCATCAAAATCAAATAAGCTTCATATAAGATATATCTAATCTATCAATGGTCCATGTTTTTATGCAGGAATGTTGTCGACCCAAGAGACGTGTACTTTTCCTTTTGCAAGTATCTCATGTTAATCGTGGACATGGCGGAATAAAGCTGCCCACTAAACCTGCAAAGCACTCTACTTCCAACAATGCGACTACATACAACACGCCACATCTTCCCCTTTTGCTCTTTCTCTTCCTTCCACAGTTTTCAATCTCTCTAAACAATGGTGTTGTTATTCACACTGCTTTTTCTAGTTTTTGCTCACTATCCCTACTCCACCTCTTCCTACCCATCTTCTACAGAGTGGAGATCTGCAAGGGCAACGTACTATGCACCTGCTGATCCGCGGGACGCCATCGGCGGCGCGTGTGGTTACGGCGACGTGGAGAAAGCAGGGTATGGGAAGGCGACGGCGGGGCTCAGTACTGTGCTGTTCCAGAAAGGACAGATCTGCGGTGCTTGTTTTGAGGTCAGGTGTGTAGAGGATCTCCAGTGGTGTATTCCGGGGACTTCTATTATTGTGACAGCTACTAATTTCTGTGCTCCGAATTACGGGTTTCCGGCAGATGGCGGTGGCAAGTGTAACCCTCCGAATCCCCATTTTGTTTTACCGATTGAGATTTTTGAGAAGATTGCGATTTGGAAAGCTTCTAACATGCCAATTCAGTATCGCAGGTAGTGTTCAATTGTTCATCACTCTGATACTTCCTTCCTTTCCCCTCAAAGTTTGAATAACGAAAAGGTGAAATTAGGGTTTGATGCATATCATTGTTGCAGGATCAAGTGCAGAAAGGAAGGAGGAATTAGGTTTACGATTGATGGAGCTGGAATCTTCTTATCGGTAATGATCAGCAATGTTGCCGGTGCCGGAGACTTAGCTGCGGTGAAGATTAAAGGTTCACGAACTGGGTGGCTTCCGATGAACAGAAATTGGGGACAAAATTGGCATATAAATGCAGACATGAAAAATCAACCTCTTTCTTTCGAGGTCACTAGTAGTGATGGGTTAACTGTTACTTCTTACAATGTTGCTCCAAAAGAATGGAATTTTGGTCAGAGTTTTGAGGGCAAACAGTTCTAATCTTGAATCTTGAATCTTGATAGTTTTTTAATGGGACATTCCCTTTTATAGAGCCTGGTTCTTAGTTGTATAAAATAATCTTTAGATTTAAGAAATATTATTATTGACAAGATCAGTTCTAAAAATATAGAATTGAAGGGAGATCTAAATAGTACTTGTGTTTGGTTTTGTTTTGTTATGTTTACTGTTATTTGTATCAATTTCACGTAGGAAGTAGAAAAAGAACTTGGTTTACTTTTTAAAGAGTAGCATGTTTGATAAGTTATGTTAATCGATTCAAATGTTTGTTTATTATATTTTGTCTTATTAAGGCATTAAATGGAAAATCAACCATTTTTTTCTCTTATCATAGCAAAAAACAAGAAAACTGTTTAATTAGCTTATTTGGACATATTTTTTTAAAGTATGATATGTTGTAGTAGGAAGAAATTAAAATAGAATGCTATAATAAACAAATCAATGAAAGTATATTGTTATTTCTTACAATTAACCTTACATATCGTGAAGTACTTTGAAAACATGTGACTCGAAATGAAAGTTTTTGGATATTAACAAATTGCCCAAAATGACTTTTAGCAATATGACAAAACAACTAAATCTTGTGGATCAAAAGCAACTTAAATCAATGATTTGTAGACCATGTACAAAACAAAAAAAAAAAAAAACAACCAACACTTGAGCATTAAGAATCACCTTGCTACCAACATTGGAATTCCTAATTCCAAAACCGGAAACAAGATTCCATCTTCCATGATAATAATAACATAACAATTTCTATTAGTTAAATAACAGAAATCCAATAATAAACTAAAGGGACTTTGTTATACAAATGAAAAACAAAACTCCATACTTGCAATTCTTAGATGCTTTCTACCGAATAATACAAATGGTATGAACCTATACCATCTATTGTTACGAAAACGAAAAAAGAAAAAAATTCTATACCCTTCTAAAAAATTCATGACATTAATTCGTGTTACAAAAAGAAAAAAATGAAACCCTATTTAGTTTTAAGTGGAACAAAAAACATGAATCATGAATCGTATATCTCATAGCTTTTGATGAGACTCAATAAGCAATGCATTGAGCATAACATGAACACAAGCTTCATAAACAACTCCATTATAATGCATCCCATCTGACGAACAATCAACCCCACATTTTTTGCTTAAATTCTCAACATCTAGCAACAAAAACACACCACCATCTTTACGCAAGATCTTGCTTTTATAAAGTTCTTGATCATATAAATTGCACATCTCACTTGTCATCTTTACCCTTTTCTCTTCTGTATTCAGCATTCTGTTAATCAAAGTTGGCATGCCTAGCCAAAACAAATGGAATCCCCGAGTAGAATCAGATCCCACTGGAAGGAATGGAATCAGTGATTCCCTTAGAAATCGTAATGAAACTCCGTAATCGGAATAGTTTGTGAAGTGTAACATATGCCATAAACCTGAACCCATTACTAACACATCTGGGTAAGTATTGTTTCTTTTGAAATCTGTAATGACATGAGTGAGATTAGTAGCGTAAGGTGCCCAAATGAAGTCCAATTTCATCCCAATTTCTTCAACCACGATATGATAATTACTATGTCTTTTAAACAAATCAGCCTGAATCGATTCCATTTCATCTAAACTCAAAACCAAATCTAACAACGAAACCACAAACAATCGCGCCTGTGAATCGCCTGCGACAACGATCCATGAACCGTTTAGCAGGTCCGAGACATCGATCCGACTCAATTTCTGGAAATCGCAATCGAAAGATCGAGACTTGTTTTCGAAATCCCATGAAAACCCATCAAAATTGGAGTGGAAATTAACCTCGTTTATTAAAGAAATGCAAGGAGTGGGATCTTGTTGTAACAGAACAGTCGGAGAAGAGGGGAAAACAGAAGGGAAATAAGGAATGAGGTGAATACATACAGCGAGACTGACGAAAAGAGCACCGCTGAAGAAGAGAACTTTATTACGACTAAGATGCCATCCCGCCATAGCCATTGGCACAAATAAGACTACACAGGCCGCCATTATTCCCAATTGGACGGCCCCAAAAAACATTTTGTCTACCTGGGTTCTGATAAAGCGTCAGTACGATTTTGATTTCGATCTTTTTTCTTGAATTCAAAAGGGCATAAATGATTTGATCTTGGGTGTTCTTGGCGCATCTGGGGAGTTTTGTTGTGGTTGAATTATGATGGGGTTTTTTGTGGGTTAGGGTTATAGTTGGTGGAGTGAGGAGATTGGATTGTGAATGAAGGGAAAGATGTGATTGCTATGGTGTAACAGAAGATGAAGCTACTGAAAGAAAGATGGGTGAGTGCGAGTTGTTTCTGAGACGGCGAGTTTATTCTTGGCGATGGTATTTTAGCTGTCTCTCTCGGTGTGAATTACATAAGCGATCACCGACTATGATTCAACCTCCACTTTTCTAAAATTACCATTTCTGTACCAAAAAACAATCATGTATTTGTTCTAAAATTAATCTCTAATCTCACCATTTAATTACAAAGATTCGGATCTAAATGCATCTCCATTTACTAAGTAGGTCGTTTGAATGGTCGTTTGATGGATTTAGTAAATGAATATAATTTGATTTTGAAATTTAAAATTTCAATCCCAATATTCAAATTTGATCCAATTAGGGATGACAAATTAAATTCAAATTTATCCGATTAGAGATGACAGAAAACCTAATACCAAAAACCCGAGTTAACCCTGATGGGTATGGGGATGTGCAATATCTGAATTTAAAAATCGGGGATGAGTATATCCCTTAGAACCCTTGAATCTGAATTCGATCCAACTACAAATTTAGTCTATGTGGTTTACAAAAAGCTATAGATAAAGTACAAAAAGTTTTCAATTGTCCAAATTTCAAAATTTGTGTGAGTTTTGTCCTTGAAAATGATGAAAGGGCTTTTTACCCTTTTAATTTTTTATAGTGGGTTTGGTCCCCATGCAAGATTTGTAAGAATAAACCTTAATCTCGGTATTGATTTCTGAGGATAAACCCCAAATTCTAGAGTTTCTTTCTTTCCTCTCGATAAACACAAAATCAAAATCATCAATCAAATCAAATGGATGTCTGCCATAGAAGGGGGCAAATCAACAATGAGACATCGGAGGAATGGAGGGGGTGGTTGATGATGTGCCAAGCGTATTTTGGTCTTTTGTGATTGATGATGTAAGAGAATATTAGGGGAGGGTGACACACACACAAGAGAAATAAGCGACATTTTAATTTCATAATATAATATTAAAGAACGTATAGAAATGAAATAGAGGGTTTGATCGTGTTTTTATGTTTTATATTGACTGTATCTACAAAATGTTTCATTTTTGAACTATTGATGCAAGTTGATAACATTTTGGACCTCATTTATATATGTAACGCCTGCAGATCCGGACTAGTCAAATTAGAGGCAATACGGGTCGAAAATGATTTTTCGGAAAAATATTAGTTAGAACAAATAATCTTAACCAAGTTGTAGTATATGTTACAAGGTTTCCGTATATATAAAGAACGCTGAAATCCGACTTATAACAAAGAAGTTATGACCCGTCGAAGTTTCGCGACGGAACCGGCACGACACCGAGAAGCGTAAATAGTGAATTTACGATAGAGCGAGATTTAGCCTTAGCAATCTAAATGAAAGTCTTAGAATATGTTAAACTAAGAGAGTTGATAAAAAAGAACGCCCAAATCTGACTTCGTATGAGGAAGTTATGATTTTTCGAAGTTTCGGCTTAGCAGTGTACAACTCGAAATTCGAACACGGCTTGTTCAGGCAAGGGGTCCAGATCTGTGGTCTGGCAACGAACGCGCTGCGCTCCACTAGGGAACACAATGCGTTCGGTTTATCAATGGGATTTTTTGGGCTTTTGGTAATGGGCTTGTTTTGGGTTTGTTTCGTGTTGAACATACTGTTTGGGCCTTTGGGCCATCTAAGATTTATTATTGGATAATGAATTATTGGGCTTTAGGATAAGCCCCATATAGGTTGGTCCGAATTTGGAAAATTAGGCCATTAGTGGGCTTATGGATCTTATAGTTTTGGGCCTTTTGATTTTGGGCTTAGGCCTCAGTTTTGGTTCATGTTGGGTCAGGGGTAAAATGGTTATTTTACCCCAAGTACGGATTATGGATCATAGTTTGGAACCCAATTGCTAATTGGGTGTTATTTTGGTATTGATAACTTGGGAAGTCGTCAGAGTAGCAGATAGAGATTTCATTCAGTGAGCTTCTACATTTGAGGTGAGTCTCCTCACTGTTCTATGGGTCGAAGGAACCAATGTCGGCCTATCTGGTTTATGTATTGTAGGAAGACTCGGGGGTGACCCCTGTCATTTTATATGAAAGACCGGGAGGCGGCTCATAGCAAACTGTATGCAAGACCAGGGTTTTAACTCCGACAGATAATTGGTTAAGTAGTTGTAGATTGTATGCTAGTTTTCTTTGTGATGCTTGCGTGGAAGACCAGGAAGTGGCTCCTGACACTTGTTTGTAAGACCTAGGGTTTGGTCCCAGACCTGGAAAGATGACCACGAGGCGGCTCGTGGCATAATGGCAAAACTATGGTTGGCACATAACACTTTTATTGATTGATTAGTTATGTATGATATATATATATATATATATATATATATATATATATATATATATATATATATATATATATATATATATATATATATATATATATGGATCGTTTGATATGTTTGGTATGTGGTATTTGGGGAACTCACTAAGCTTTGTGCTTATAGTTTGTGGTTTATGGTTTCAGGTACTTCCGGTTCGAAAGGGAAGGGCCCTGCTTGATCTCAAGTTATACACCTGTGTTTTCTGCAATACATGATCTTTGGGAATGAACTCTAATAATTTTTGTATTTTGAAATTCTTTTAAATGTTTGGATAAAGTTACAATAGTGTTTTGATTATATAAAAATGAAATTTTTACCCTTATTTTTCGGGATGTTACAATCTGGATCCGATGATGACTCAAAAAACAGTTATGATTGTGAAGATAATTCTCATCCAGTCGTGTTCATTAAGAAACTTTCATTAAAATAAATATATATTCTGTTGAAAATGTAAATGAGCTAGGATGGGGTTCGGCTAACCAGAAAACATACTGAGCTAAGAAGGAGAGCCTAACTATGTGCTACCTTCTTCTTCATTTATTAAGCAAACACAAAGAAAACCTCGAAGACATTGAAATTGTAATAATTTCTACTGAAATCTTCAATGTACGATTCAAATCATGAAAAATCAGGTTATATCCGAACACTAAATATCTATTTTACTATTAATCATCATCCTTTGTTTCAAATCATGCAAAATCAGCTTCAATCATAATGAATTCTACTATGAAATTAACAGATGTATCTCAATTTTCTATTAAAAATGATGATTTATAGTTGGATTCGTTAATATTTAAAGCCCTATGTGTCTGTAAGAAGATTTAGTGGGAATGAATTAAATTATAAAATGGGTTGTTAGTGATGCCTAACAAGTGCTCAATGAAATGCCTAAGAGAGTTCATGATCTCATGCAAACAAAGGTTAGGTGGGGATTATCTATGAGATTCATATAGAAATTATATGCAACAATTTGAACAGACTTGAAACAGTTTTGGGCCAATAAATGTGAAGAATAAAACATAAAATTTGAAACACAAACATATCAAAGGTGAATACGCTCCTTTTCAAGAGGCCTGCTCAATCGTCTCTCTATGCTCTTTTTCTTTTCACCCCCTTTGATTACACACTCTGAAGATCCTCATCACTTTTGTCACATCACTCCTGAAGTTAAATACTCTTCATTACCTAACTTAATTTTTTTTTTTTATCTCTTTGAGCTTTAGAAAGCATAAATTGGATCTTCGTACCATGCTTCAAATCCCTAAGTATCAATCAAACAAGAACAGGCCAAAGGATCTTCTTCACAGTCCTCAACCCAATTATAAGCATCTCATCGCTGAACGGTACATATAGAAGTATGTAATTGCTCATGTAGATATGATTTATCCAATACAAAAAATAAATACCATGTAACTTCTTATCTCAGTAGCAACAAAACAATACTGGATGCTGCAAAATAAATGACGCAAGTAGTGCTTCTGTTACTTGAATCTTGGAATAATAGGTGTACATAGATCCCCCACATAGCATAAGTTAAGTTGGAAAAGTATGCAAGTAAAAAAGAACCTTATATGGGTTGAAACAATCCTCGTAATTCTAGTATGAAGAAGAATCTCAAACTTCATAAAGAAGATATGGTACAAAAAGGTGATGCAAATCATACTCTCTTCGTCAAATAATAGGTAAAAATATAACTACTCTAATTAGGTAGGTTGATGAAATAGTTCTCACAAGAAACGAACAAAGAAGATCACTAATCTCCAAGAATGCCTTGTAACCAAATTTTCACTCAAGAATTTAGACACGTGAAGTATTTCTTAGGTATCAAAGTTGCTAGATCAAAACAAGGTATCTTTATGTGTCAACGAAAATATGTGCTATATTTACTAACATATGATGGCATGCTCAATTGTGAATCTGTTGAGATTCTGGTTAAGGTGAAACACATGCTAACCATTCAACCGAACACATTTCTAACCCATAAAGAGAGGTATCAAAGGTTAGTTGGAAGGATAATATATTTATAACAAATACATCTTGACATGACATATGTCGTAAGTGTTGTAAGTCAATTTATGTATGCACCAAGTGAAGATCAAATCGAGACAAAATATCGTATACCATGGTACCTAAACTCCTCACTAAAAAAAGATTGTTCTTTTCTATTAATGGAAACTAAGATGTCAAAATATATGCATATTGTTGATTTGGATAGAAATAAAAATGATAGAAAGTTTATATAATGATATATTACATTCATGGGAGATAATATCGCTATTTAGAGAAGTAAGAAATTAAACGTTACTGCAAGATAAGTGTATTTGGTGAATTTCATTGGAATAGAACAAGGTGTTTGTGAATTGTTATGTATAAAACAAATTTTACAT